GACATCAGGCCACAACACTAAATAATATTTGAGCATTTCAACCTCCCAAATTACATTGTAGAATATCACAAAATGACTGTTTTGTAAAAGCGGACTTAACAGCACCATCAAGCAAGATACTGTTGAATTTACAGCCATCAAAACACTTGAGGGAATCTTAGGTCTCAACAAACACAATGTGTTTGAATGCATTTCTACTGTTAATTGATTCTTATAATTTTTCTCCTATCAGAGGTAACTGGCAATTTCATAACCAATCTATTTTCCCTCCTTTTGCCCCACATCCCACCTCTATTTTCACCCTACAGTCTAGCCAGCGCATCTGATGAAGTGAAATGTAGCTCACAAAAGCTTATGCCTTATAACAAAAACTCTCAGTTGAAAAAGGTGCAGACTCTTGACTTCTTTTTGCCACTAACATGAGTCCTCTCCTACAAAACCTAAAGTCAACTTGTTGTAATGTATCAATTTGAAAGTAGATTTAAAATTGTAGATTAGGTAAGAGCTACATTAGTTCAATTAGAATTTACTACAGTACTTTCTCTTAGCACTTCTACAAATCTTTCAAGATTTGGCACAAAATAGTATGAAAAACAGCAAATGATACTTCCAGTCTTCAACTGACAAAGAGAGAGGAAAATATCCCTCCCATTTACACAGCACTTTACAGTCTTATGAGATTAATCATGTCCTCTGAGAATTTGTTTACACCTCTCCCAGTAACCTAGATTTATATCAAAATTTTAATAGTGACAGATTGAGTTTTAATAATAGAGTGTTAAGACTGTTCTGACTTCCCTTTTCTGCTAAGATTTATAATTTTCTTTTTTGAAAAAAATAATTGATAAATTTTACTTCTTGATTGATCTAGTCCCAAAAACAAAATGGAGGGAAAGAACTGACCAATCCCTTAATGCCATAAGCACAGGAAGTAAGAATACAAAACATGCTTTATTTTTTTCCCTTTTAAATTACCAGGATGCAATATGGAATATAAGATAAGATCTTCCTAGATATAGTACCATGGACAAGAATAAAGGTATCTATGATATACTTTTTAGGAAACAGGTAACATAACAAGAACTAGTAAGCCACATACCAAGGCAGGAGGTGAAGCTAGGGTATGCAGGTCCAGGTCTTCTGGGGAAAAAGGCATGAAATCATATCTCTTTCATGTTAAAACTTAGCACTGTGACTAAACTATGTCATTATTACTCCACTACACGAAACAATATAGTTCCAATATAAAAAGGTGTAAAGTTGCAATAAATTCCTTTAAAAATGTCACATTTTAAAACATGGAATTCAATTGGGAATGAGGAAAGGCCTCTGGAAATACTGTGTCTTCTGTACAAAGAATAAAAACAAATATAGTACACTTTAATAGAATAATTGTGTGCCTTATAAGAGTATATAAACAGATGGTTTCCTAGCTTCTAGTGCAACTTCATCTGCTATATTCAACTGGCTCATACTTCTGACCCATATAAATTTAACTTTTGTTGTAAATTTTAAACAATATATTATCACCCATGACTGCAAGTTTCACACAAAAAAATCTTGGTCAGGCAGCCACCGACCAAGCAATAGCTGCCAGTCCAGGAGGATGACCAAGTCAGTACCAGCCTCAAATAGTGAAGTACAACCTAATTCATCCAATGGTGGGGGTGGGGGGTGATAAAAAAAATCCACAAACACTTAGTCTTATCAAGACTTAGGCAAATCTGTTCCTCTTAGAACTATGCATAATCTTGCAATATTGATATGTGATCTGACCTTCATCCAAGGCCTATTAATAAAAAAAGTACTCTGGTTAAACAGACATTACCCAATCAGCGTACTGTATTATGTCTTTATTGAATACTTTGAGCCACTATTCATTATATTAAAAATTATATTCCCATTCTTAAGAATGGTGAAATACAAATGAAATATAATAGAAGGGGAAACAATATAAGNTCTGAATGCTGAAATATTATTACACAATTTAATGAACAACACAGAGAATATTTTGATATAATTTTAATTAAGAAACTGTATTTTTCTTGTGATGGTGTGGTGGGCTAATTATCCTTTTTTTTTTTTTTTTTTTACAAATTTATGCATTGGCCTCTGTAAATATGGCTTGGCTCATTTATTTATTAAATTTGTACGTTGCCCATTTTGCTGTCATATAACTCTGAGTGGCTTACATGATAAAACAATATTATAAAAGATTAAAACAGTAAAATAATAAACATAACATAAAACAATTATTTGAAGCTAATGTACAGATATTACTCAGCAATGCTATGGCATATTTTGCTTTGCTTTTCAATTATCTGTAGAAGGAGATGGTGAAAGAATGCTCATACAGGTGGTGCTTGCTTAATGGCCGCTCATTCAGTGACTGTTTGAACTTATGATAGTGTTGAACAGTGCTACTTACGACTGGTCCTTGAAGTTTCAGATGTCACAACGTTCCCATGGTCACAATTGAGATATGGGGGTTTAGGCCCACTTCTCAATTATGTTGTGGCATTCTACGGTCAGGTGATCACTATTTGCAACTTTCCAGGTTCCAATAAGTGAAGTCAATGGGAAAGCAAACGATGATCAAATGATGTTCTGGTGATGATAACCAGAAGTGCCAGAGTTGCTGTTGCTAAGCAATCATGTGATATCAGACCTTACAACCATGTTGCTTAGTGATGGAAAATCCAATCCCAATTGCCATAGTTAATTTGAGGACTACCTGAAATTGAGGCCAGAAAGTTGGGCTAAGTTCCTGTTTGTCATTTTAGCAAAGTTACATCTGTGCTTGAAGCAAAAACTCCTGTTGCCAAGTGGGAAATTCAGAAAAAGCCAAATGGGGTAGCTAGTAATTTGCTTGTCCTGCATTGTTCAATTAGCATCACTTTGTGTTCCTTGAAGAGATACCAGTATTAAGACAAATTCTGACCACCGCATGTTTTTTTGACATAGTTTTCCTCTTGGTTGATACTGACTGCATCAGTTCAGGGGGATCTAGTCAATTATCAACATCATCACAGCCATACTCTTCCATGGAAGGGAGGTGACATCTAACTTGAAGAAGGCAGTGCTCTATATGCTCTTCAATGAAGTATCATTAGATACGCTTGTTCTGATAACTATAGTTGCAAATTTGCACACTTGGTGCAAGTGGTTGAGAGTGTTGACTGAACAATTCTGGACTCTCCTGGATGGAGAATAGGATTTAGATCTTTTTCAACTGATTAGAGAACAGATCATGGCCTGGGAAAAGCACATCTATTTTTATTGCTAAGCAAAGTAGTTGTTAAGTGTGTTGTGCCTTATTTTATGACTTTTGCCATATCTGCTAAGTGAATCACACAATTGTTAATTACCATTGTGAATTTGGCTTCTCCCACTGACTTTGCTTTCAAAAGCCGGCTGAGAAAGTTACGTACACTTTGTAAATATATGCCAGCTGACAAGAACCCAAATTTGTTCATGTGATTATGCTGCAACAATCGTAAGTGTGAGGACCAGTTGTAAGTCACTTTCCTCAGTGTTGGTGTAACTTTGAACCTTGAACCTTGGCTAAATGAATGGTTTGAACTGAGGACCACCTGTTCCAAAAAGTATGCATTAGAGCCTTGTATCAGTTCAAACTAAAAAGACCCAATAAACAAATGAATAATCCTGAATCCCATATTGCCTTTCTCATACTTCCCAGTGTATTAAATATATTATGTTACACACCAAACCTGTAGAATACTGCTATATAAAGAACTATAGATTTAGCAAGCATTGAGGATAGCAAAGAACTGCAACATTGTACATTGTTGGAAAGACAGATTTACACAGATTTACAATTTGGGATTACAAATACACGTTTACTTATATGTGTGAGTTGAGTTTTTATTGATGTAATAGAATTGATGCATATTGTCTTGTGTAATCTAGGTTTAATGACCTGTTTAAAAATGACAGAGATTCAATTATATTTCTTGTATGTAAAGTATGTTTCTTGCATCTTTTTACTTTTTTGTCAATCAAACAAAAAAGGAAACTATAATCCATCCTAATAATTTAGGTTGAGATATTTTAATTTAACATAATATTTTTAAGATCAATCTTACAAAGGTCAAGCTTCAAATTTAGAGATGGCTATAAACCAACAAATCCTAATATTTTTCTTGGTATTAAAAATAAATAAGAAATATATTCATAGTATCAACATTTTTTACATGCTGTTGAAGTGTTGAATAGGTTTTTTGTTCAAAAAATGTTATATTCCAGTTACCTCACACACATAAAGATAGACCCACAAGCACACACACACATACACAGAGCATGTCATATAATTAAAAGCTCTTTATGGAGCTTTTTTTAATTATGGAGTCTAAGGAATAGCAGTAACACTAGGAACAGAAGAAAACTTAAAAGAATGTGATTTCTAATAAGACACGATTCTTTCAAAAACACAACTGGCAAATCCATAATCTCCTCTCTATTAGTTACTTTAAATAATTTGCCTACTTATATAATAAAATAAAGTAACCATTACACAATGCTCATTAAAATACCTTCATGTTATTGTAATTCATTCATTAGCTATTATGTAGTGGTCTATATACTATCCATTCTCAATTCTTTGGGCATTGTAACATCATCCATGCATAAAATGGAGTAACAAAAAAAATCCTTAAAAAGCAAAACAAATAATTTCAGGAAAACCCAATAAAGATGGATTGATTGCCAGGATAGTCCAGAAAATAGGAAGGAAACAAATCTAGTATCTTGAAATCTTTGATGAAGGTTGCCTTTCATAAATACAGCTTGAGGGCTTATGAAGAACTTGTTAATGAACACAAAAAATAAATCTGAGTTAAAGCAGTCAAATTTTCCTTAATTAAATACCTAACTCCCAGTGTTCTGGGTTATTTTTTTTTACACTTTAAATATGTCAGATCCACATAGGTTTCAACTAAAACAATTAAGGCTTTATGTTTGCTCAATAATAAAACAATTACCTAGTGTTCATTTTATGTGTTTGAAAGCCTAAATATGGATCAAGAACCAAACTAGTTGCTAGGTCATCATTTTCACATAGCTCCTTGGCAGACATTCCAGAAGAAGGCACGTAGCGACTTTGGCCCTCAAATCCCGAACCACCACTACCTGCATAAATCAAAACAAATGATTAGCTGATACTGAACACCAAATTGTATCAATCTTTCTCCTTGTATAGGGAACAAGAAAAAAAAGCAGGAATCTGGAGAATAATGCAGAAGCTTATCCCAAGTATGTGTTGGTCCAGTGGTGGGCACAATGCTTTGTTTATGCAGAAGATTCATTTTCACCAGGATATTTGTGACGACAGAAGTTACCACATGACTGAACAGAGACTTTCAGGTGAGGTCCCATAGGAAATGTTCAGGGAATGAACAATGCATATATCATAAAGAGCCAAAAGATGATTAATTGTCATCTTTTATATGAATTAATGAGTGCGCTTTACAATGTACGTTGTACAGCATCTCAGATGAATTATTTTCATTAGATAAAAGTAATTTAGCTTACAGAATTTATATTATATTTTATCTGACAGTGGTCTGAACTTACACATTTTTACTTTTGTGAAATACTAACACTGCTTCCTAGCAAATCCTCTTTATTCTGATATCAATTCACATGTCTCTTTCATTTTATTCCTCAAACATTAAATAAAAATAATCACTCTCTGATTTTAAAATGTTATCGCATATAGACAACCAGCATTTTTAGTGCAGCCTGCAGGTATTCCTTAAAATTAGGTGTAATGGTATGAAGTGATTGATTTGCAGTTGGTTCATTCAGTAAACCATATAATAAAGGAGTCATGATTTCATATAAAATAGTTATATAACGAAAAAGGATGCAAGCACAATCTGTCAATGAATAATTTGCTATTCAGTTTTGACATGTTGATATTGAGCACAAACAAATCCTTTTAATTGCATGCTTGATTTCAGGATAAATCCATATTCTATGTCCAAAAACCTAAAGCAAATCAAAGTCTTCTATCCTAATCAGAAGTTCTCCAGTTACAAAAGGAAAGGAGAAGTGATTGTTGTAAGTAGCAAGTTATGTACCTCTGTTGGATTATTAAATTAGTACTGACTTCAGTAGTGCAATTTTGGTCTTGGCCTAGTTGTATAATGACATATGAAGTATGACGTAACAGCAAGAATGTCTTACTTGGAGTTGCTCTGAAAAATGAAGCCATATAAGCCATATGAATCTTTATGACCATTAAAAATAGTAAAGCACGTAAACTTGTTTCCCTATGTGAAACAGATTATAATAAATAAATGGCAACATTTAAATCAACCAAAACCCAGAAGAAATTACCCTTATATGATCAGCAATGGAAACTCAAATTAAGTTTGCCTTTAAATCTTCAGGTCATTTGTTTCTTTTAAATTAATGTTCTATCACTTTAACTCAGATCCAATATCTACATGGAAATGAAATTATGAGTAGGTTATCTTTAAAATTGCTCCTGTAAACATACACTTCCCTGAATATTTTGACTGTAGATTGTGTTCTACTGATACTTTCTGGGACAAATTATAAATACGTGGAAAACTGAAGTCTTTACCACTGCAAACTATGCATTAGCAACATTTTAACATTGAAAGGAAGACTATAAGGCTCACACTTAAGCTTTCATTGGGACTTCAATTTATTTAAAAAAGTATAAATTATTTACGCACATTACTGTGTCATCATATATAAATGAGAAAAACTTTAAAATATATATACAAGAAAGAAAATATACTTGGCAAATACAGCCTTTTTAAAATTAACAAATATTAACTTGAGGTCATCCTAGCACATTAACATATACATACATCTGCTGGACCGTCTCTCAACTCCATTTTTGCCAGTCTTTGGATTTTCCTTCCCAGAATGCTGTAATTTGGACTGATTTTGATGGTGGTCATTAGATAACCTGCTTCCATTTCTCCGGCCATTCACCACCATGTTCTTGGATTCTCCCAACCACTTCATTCCCACAGACAATTTGCCCCCGTTGCATTTAGTCCTTCTTCCAAAGGCTTTTGGAAATTAATGGTAGTCCAGTTTCCTAAAAGAAAAAGAATGCACAAACATAAATAAACTATTCAAAGCAATTTTATTAATGCTATATAATANTAATTAATTGCTGCTTCTGCTTCTATTGCTAGTTTATAGAGAAATGTAGGCTGAAAGATGGTTGGATAATTTATAATTCAGTATGAACTCCTTGGTTATCTCTGAGCTTGGTGGTTGTTTTTTTTGCAGGGGTTTCATTACCCAGACTAGATAACATTATCAATGGTAGTTAGAAGTAGGGTTCACTCTCAATTTATATTCTAGTGGCTGGCCCTGTCAGTGCTTGTGCCAATGGTCTTGGAGATTCTTTGGTTGGGCTGTTTACTGTTAGCCAAAGAACCTCTAAGGCCATCCCCACCAACATTGATAGGGCAAGCACTAGAATATAAACTGAGAGCAAACTCCACTGCTTACTAGCACTGATGATGTTACCTAGTTTGGGTAATAAAATGTCTGCAAGAAAACAACCAAGCTCAGAGAGGAGCAAAGAACTCTCATTTCAATCCTGAGCTACAAATATTCTCCTTTATTGGTAATTCAGTGTGTCATACAAAGAGAGCCAGTTTGTTATAGTGGTTAAGGGATCAGGCTACAAATGGGTTGAACATGTAATTGCTAAAATATATCAAATTTTGTTGAGGTTTGAAACAAAAGAACAAGTTAAAAAGTGCATCATAAAATGGGCTGATACTTTTGGTCATAATAAACAGATGAAGCAATGGAAAGAATGTGGCTAAAAGGACTGAAATTCACTTATAATTTAAGGGAGAACTTTTAAAAAAGATGTACCATTGGTCCAGGACAGCATTATCTAAGATTTATAAAGATATATCTAAGATTTATAAAGTTAATTGTAATTAATATTGGAAATATGAAAAACATTAAGGGATATTTGACTATTCATAGTAGACTTGTGAAAAAAATGGATACAAATACACATAAAGATGCAAAAAATGCTAAAGATTAATATTTAGATGAAACCAGATTTTTTTTTAATTTGGATGTTTTTTTAATTTGGAGTATCCAATTCTAATTGGATAGCCAATTAGAAAAGATTTATGGAAGACTGGTAACTACAGTGAGACTATGCACAAATGTGAAAAAATACTGAAACACTCACAATGGAGGAATACATTATAAAGGTGGCAGAAATGGCACAATTGACCAGTTTGAGTCAGAATGAAACAATAAGAACTTTAATGAATGACTAGAAACCTCTTAAAGACTTCTTGCTAAAAATGAGAAAAATGAATTGGTTGTTTATGGATGTGCTGATTAAAAAGAATGCATATGGAAGGTAATCATGTAATGCAACCTTAAAGAAGGAGGATGGATAATCAATTTGTAACTGCTGTAAAGATCAGAAGTTACTTCTTTATATCTTTCTCTTTTTTTGTCTGTATTGTTTCCTGATTTTTCTTTTGTCTATTTCTTAACTTTTTAATATATTTTTCATGTTTGCCTTTTACCTACCATATGTTAAAATATCTAATAAAAATATGTTATTGTATGCTGCCCAGAGTCATTTTTGGCAAGTTGGGTGGCGATATAAATTTAGTCAAACTTCTATTTTGGATGTATACTATTAATTTTGCCATTGCTGAGTATTTCTCAAGTTTTGGTTTCAAGTCATATATTGTTGACAAAAGTATCTGTTTTCTGGTGGGCCAGATTTGTCATTGCAGCTGTGAGCAAATATCTCAGCAGATTGTGATATTTTAATTTGTTGTAGTGGAAATATTTTAGTAAAAAACCCTGAGGTTTCAATTTAATCTTTGGAAGATGTTTTTTGAATAATGCTATGTATTACTTTCCAGTGCTTCTGAATATTTACATGACCACCACATAAGATAAAATGTTCCTCCTGTATCACAACATTTCCAACAGCTATTTAATATGATTTTATCTATTTTTGCAATCGTGACTGGAGTTATATACTATCTGTAAAACATTGAGTTCCAGGTTCTCCTAAATTATAGTTTGGGGTAAATTGCATTGAATATTTCAATAAGTCATCCTATAGTTGAAATGTAAATGTTTCTTTAAAAATTTGTATCACTTTATCACATAATCATTTGCTTCTTCTGTCTCCATGTCACATTTTAATAGTAATCTATATAACGTATATGTCCTAATAATGGCTTTATTCTGTGTAAGTCTTTCAAATTATTGTTTGTCTTAAAACTCCTCCTCCTTTCTTAAGGCCATGTTTTATTTTTCCAGCAATCTGTAAATGCTTTTTACATTTGCCAAATAATTCTTGCTATATATTTAGTGTATAGCTAAAAACTGGATGCACCATTTCTGCACACATAATTACACTTTTCTTATAATTGTCTTTAGAATAAAAGACATTTGAAGGTGAAGCTAAAAGCAAGATTGCTGATTATTCTTTTTTATAGAATGTTCATATCAGACTCTGCTCTCTTTGACTATGACAGTTTGTCTGGCAATATAATTCCAAACAATTACAATCTTTGTAGGCATAGACAAAACTTGGCATCTTTTCCAAGGTCTTCACTGCTGTTCTACCAAATGCTAGTCTGTATTGTAATCCTTGATTGCTGGTTCCTTTAATGGTGATAGTTGATCCTACAGACAGAAGCTGTCCACCAGTATCTTCATTGTAAAATTTAAGAAGAGCTTCTGTTGTCATTTGTTTGGTTTTATTTATATGTAATCTTACTCCCTTTTTTCCCCACTGTATCCTTGACTTGCGTTACAAGAGCTAACAGATCATTTGTATTTTTAAGCATCAGAATTGTATCATCAATGTAGCAGAGGTTATTGGTGTGTCTTTGTTCAGTTTTAAAACTGTACTCATCTTGTTCCAATTCAGCTTCCTTCATTATATATTCTGCATATAGATTGAATAAATACAGGTAGTCCTCAACTTATGACCACAATTGAGCCCCAAATTAATGATGCTAAGCGAGAAATTTGTTGAGTGAGTTTTGCTCCATTTTACAACTTTTTGTCACATTTGCTAAGTGAATTGCTGCAGTTGTTAAATTAGTAGCACAGTTGTTAAGTGAATGTAGCTTCGCCATTGACTTTGCTTGTCAGAAGGTTGCAAAAAGAGATCACATGATCCCAGAACACTGCAACCATCATAAATATGAGCCAGTTGTCAAGCAACTGTAATGTAAATCATATGACAATGGGGATGCTGCAACATTCATAAGTGTGAAAAATGGTCATAAGTCAATTTTTTCAGTGCAGTTGTGGCTTTGAACGGTCACTAAATGAACTGTTTTAAGTTCTATCTGTAGAAAATATACAGTCTTGTCTCACTCCATTGCTGACCTGGAGTCAGTCTATTGCCATGGTATTAAAACCTGGCTTTGCCGGCAGGCCTGGGGCCGTTGACCTCTTGATTGAGGTCCGGCCCCTCTCTGATTGGGTGTATGTTGTGCTTTTTCTTAACTTTGTTGTGTCTCATTGTTTTAATTCTTTTTAATAATTTTTCATTTCTGTAAGCCGCCCGGAGTCCTTCGAGATTGGGCGGCCTAGAAATTCAATAAATGAAATGAAATGAAATGTTCTATGTATATTGTGGCTTCCTGACCTATGTATAGGTCACATGAGGATAATGAGATATTTGGGGATACTCATTTTTCTAAGTGCATTCCAGAGCTGGACATAGTCAATACAATCTAAGGTCTTTCTATAAGCAATGAAGCACATACTGACTTCAGTTTGATGTTCTTTGGCTTCCTCAATTATCCTTTGTGCATCAGCAGTAATGCCTCATATTCCTTGGCCTTTTTAAAAAAACAGGTTGAGCATCTGGCAACTTTATTTCAATATACGGGTCTAATATGTGTGGAATTATCCTAAACATTGTCTTTGTAGCATGTAAAACTAAGAAATTTTACATAGTTTGCCTAATCTGTTGTCTCCTTTCTTTGCTATTAGTGTGTAGACCTTTTCCAATCTGCTGACTACTTTGTCCTTCTACAGATTTGCTGGTATAGCTTGGTTAAAACCAAATTAGTTATACAGTAGATTATTCTTCTGTTGTTTGCTATATTTTTGTAGATATTCAATCAATTCCAGTAGTCTTCCAATTTTATAATGATTAGAGTGCTGATCTAAATCATTTTCTAGTACTAAAGATTCCTCTAAATAGAGAATAATTTCTAATTTATCTTGGATGTTGGTATCTCTACTGTACAAAATTTTAGTATACTTTTTCTTTAGTTTTTCTTTTATCGTCTTTGGACCAGTTGTTATCTGTCATTGGCATCCTTCAGCATACAATTTGAGATTGGAACTTCTTTCTAAATTCAGAGATTTTTTTGGAAGACTTCCCTTGTTTATCCATATCTGTTTTCATCTTCAATGTCTTTACAAATGCTGCAATACTGATTCCCCCCCCCCCAACAGTTCTCTGAAATTCTTTCTTAAGTTTGCTTATGAGATCTTTGTCTTTCTTGGCATTGACTTCTCTTCTTTGCAATTTTCATGTTTGTTGTGACATCTAGTTTGCTTTTTTGATCTTTGGTAGTCTGTTTTCATATTCATCGGTAATAACTTTTAATGTCATTCCACAGCTCCTCTATTCCTAATGTAGGAAGTTCAGGATTTAAAAGCAATTCCTGTGGTTCTCCTTGGAAATGATGAATACATGCTCAAGTTTACATTATAGAAACTGATTCTCCTTCTGCTTTAGCTGAACTTGGAATTTTCACAAGAGTAGTTTCTTTATCTGATCCACAGTCAGTTACACCTTTGATATTATAAGTGAATTCTTCTTATCACTTAGAAGAAATTGATTATAATTATAATGTTGATTTTGGTGTAGTCCATCTGGTGATATCCATGTATACTGGTCATTTTGGTTGTTTAAAGACTGCATTAGCAATCAGGAAATCATTGAACTGGCAGAAATTGATAAGTTATTCTGCTTCATTTTGGTTTCCAAGGCTGTACAGTCCAACTCCATTTTCCTTCTCTTATTTCCACCTTTGGCATTACCATCGCCAAACACAAGCAGCACATCTTGCTTGCATATTCTGTTGATTTCAGATTGAACTTAATCATAAAACTCATCAACCTTTTGTTCTGCATCAGTGGTTGGAGCATAAAGTTCCGTAATTGTAAGATGAGTCTGAGAGTTTTCCGTGTAATTCAAAAAGTAATTCAGTCTGTTTTAATACACTCAAACTTTTCTTAAACAATGAGGCACACAATTTGTGAATGTTCCTTGTTTTTGTACTATCACTTGAGGTTCAGTTGTACTTGACAGCATGTAATGGCAGTCATAGATTTCTTTTCTGCAGAAATAATCTTGCAATTGTGATTCATTCTCTAGTACCTATGTCATTCACAGTATATAAGAGTGTCCTTGAAAAGTATTCAGAAGCTTCTGGTTCAAATGCAGTCCTAACTGGGAATATTTAGGTTGGTAGGCCTGGGAGATTTGATTGCTTGCCCATTCACTTTCAATTCTAATTTGGGTACTATTTGTTGGACAGGGAGAACATATTGGTATCATTATAGTTAAATTTTAGATCTTCAGAAACAAATGTATGTGAAGGATTTTATCATTAAAATAGCTTTTTTTGTCTTTTTTTTCTTTACTTTGCTTTTATTAAAAATTGTGTTGACGTTCCTAGACAATACAAGAGCCATTTATAAATAGTTGCAGTCAATACTAATAGTTTAACAACTGTATCATTGCATATCAGCCTACCTAGATATTTATGTCTGTCATCAGCACTTGAGATGAAATGAAAGGCAACAAAGGAAAAGATAGTTTCATCTGTGGCATCCTTATTATAGTGTATGTCATCTTTCCACTATGGGGTGATTGTTTGCTTGATGTTAATATAATTTTATTTATTTTAATAATAATAAATAATTTATCAAACTTTTATACTGCCTGACTCCCAATAATTCTGGGCAGCTCATAAAAATAAATGATTATTTTACCATTGATTTGGATTTTAAATTGTACTGTAATCAATCTAGGGTAATTATGAAGACAGTATATAAATGTTGAAATGAGTCCATGAACAAGTGGATGAAAGAATAAATAAAAAGTGACTTTTGTGTACAAAGTTGGGAAGTTTTGATCAAATTACATTTATTAAGCAGTAAGTTCTTCTCAAAACATTAACTTGAACAAACAGTCTTCAACTTATGATTACAAATGAGCCCCAAATTGCTAAGTGAAATAGTTGTTAAATGAGTTTTACCCCATCTTATAACCTTTCTTGACACAGTTATTAAGGGAATCTCTGCAGTTGTTAATTAGTAAATGGTTGTTAAGTGAATCTGGCTTTCCCATTGACTTTGTTTGGTAAAAGGTAAAAAAAAATGATCACCTTACCCCAGAACACTACAAACATTGTAAATATGAGCCGGTTGCCAAGCGTCTGAGTTTGATCATGTGACCATGCAGATGCTGCAACGATCATAAGTATGAAAAATTGTCATAGGTCACTTTTTTCAATGCCATTGTAACTTCAGTCACTAAATGAACTGTTGTAAGTTGAGGACTACCTGTATTCTACCTTTCCTTTGTATATTTGAAGAAGCTAACAATTTTGTTTTGATAGGAATGATAGTGTATCAATGTAAAATGCTGGCACAGAAATATAATTTTCTAGGATTTCCCAGAGTTTATTTCTTTACCAACTCTTAAAAGTACCCTGGGTTGTAGGGCTGAAAATAGGCTTTTCTGAAATATGGGACATGTTTGTACGAAGCACTAACACATGATTATATAAACTATGATTTTTTAATTAATT